CTCGTCGGGAGAGATTCCCTCGACGGTCGGTCGAGGACAATCGGAGAGGAACAGAGCCGTCCGCTCCAGTCGGGTCTTAAAGCCGCCTCCTCTGACTTCGCAGGACTGTTTGACGGCGCGTACGATCGGCGTCGGCGCTGTACGCTGGGCCAGTGGATGAGCCAAGTCCAGGGATTTTAGGCGTGCCGCAAATCGAATGCGTCGGGCCTCAAGAAGCAAGGACACGGGAGGGATACCGCTCTCCTGATGGTATATCGGAACCGGCGTGGTCTTCCACACGGGGAGGATGGCCCGAATGGCCCGGCGGAGGACGGGGTCGAGCTTGTCGACCAGGTGCTGAATCTGAGGCCGAACTTTCTTCGTGCCGTGCCAAGCCGTGTAGCTCTCAGTGCCAGTATGATACCTCGGGCCCGTATCTAATGTTGCCTGGTCCAGGGTAGCGGCCATAGATGGTCCTGGATTCTGCTCTCCAGCAGCCTCCCTTTCGTTCCTGGCAATGCTATTGGTGCTGGTGTCATTATATACGGCATCAATTAACCCTACATTTACACTAGGAATTGCTGGGATGGATGTTGATGATTCTGGCGGCCCGCTGCCGGGGAAACTCAGGATCTGCACCTGATCTGCCAGTGATAATGGTCTGTTGTCGAGCGCGTTCTCGCTGCGCCTGCTTGCCTTCTAGTGCACGAGCACGGCGCTCCTCGTCGCTAATGACCTTCTTTGGCCGGCCCATATCTGCTAAAGTAATCAACTCTAAATAGGAGATTCTGTATTGTTACTCCGCGTGTATGAATGTCGATGAGTGTAACGGCTAAGGTTCCCAAGGGATAAACTAGTCGTAGTTTGTCAAGGTCAAGTCGCTCATTCAAGGCAACAGCCATTGCTATACTGCTGCCTGGCAGGCAGCAGTATTACAACAAATATTTAATTTTGTATTATTCCGTTCTTTTAGATAGAAAATCAAGAGTCTCTCGTTTTGTCCAGGCTGTCCCATACAATCGGTTGTGTGACATAGTTTATGTTGGCAGAGCCACTAGGGCAGTCAATCTGAGCGGTTGGGTGTTACGTTGGTGATAGGTCGTAGACCGTAACCAAGTGATCAGAGTCAGAGAGTTGTAAGAGAAGCTTATTCAATGTAGGATCGTTGTTGAAGACTAAGGAGCTAAGGTCTATCTATGGAGCGAATTTGGGGTCTCTCTATACTACATGATTTTCTTGGATCATTTACAGATCCAGATGATCCAACCGTAGTCGTGTCGTGCCGACCATTAATCCGCCCGCGTCTGTTCCCGCCGCGGGGTGGCTCATGCAGTCGGCCCATTCTGCGACCTACACTGCAGCCTGCGGCTGGGTCGTAACAATGAGTCGATGAGTAGATGGGGTTCCCATGGTAGCTGCCTACTGCTTCTCGTCTTTCTTTGTTCTTCCCCTATTCTATTTCCTGGAAGCCTTCTTATCTTGGTAACGCTATGCCCTGTTCCGCTTAGCCTTTGTATTTGTTTTTTACGTTCATCATATGATTATTATCACCATCCATGCTGCCTCTAAAACGTGGCAACCGAAAGGAGCTCGTAATGCCATTCGCTGGTCTATCGCCCTTTGCTTCTCTGAGCCACTACGCCACAGCCAAGAAAAAAAGGTGTGTGATAAAGCTGTGATGCGATTCCGATGTGATGACTTAAATTACTTCCCATGTGGCTGAGGCAAGACATGATGATGGATGAGAGGATATGGACGACAAAGATGGTGACACGGAGTTCTAGAAGCTCTGAGTTGTCTTCTATTCCCTGGACAGGGATGCGTCACAGCTTTCGAGCCAATAACAGTTCTGACAGGCATTTGTCACACAGTCTAAGCCAATCACTCACTGTATCTTGTCTTCTCGCTGGGAGCAGGGTCCCGTCACGCTTCACCCAAGCCCATAATGCCAAATGCAGCGACTCTTAACAGTTCGATCACCTCCAAGCTGCAGTAGCTCACGCCTTTTATCCCTTTAGCTATCGCGGAAACCCTGCCAAGCCGTGACTGGAGCGCATGTATCCCTTTAGCTGCTGAACTGTACCCTTTTAGCGTGGCAGGGATATCGACCAATCATATCGCTAGTGTCTCAATGCTGTACTTTTCGATACATATGACGCCATTGATCCCAACAATCACCCTCTTCCACATGCATACGTATTAGCGACCTGTATGTGTTAATTAAGGTAGAAATAAACCCTTCCATCATTACATAGCTCTTAGGTGCGGAAACTACTCTGCATTTGGTGGTGTTATTTGGAACAAGTCGGGACGGGTGTAACGGGCTGGGCCGTTAGAGATGCACTCGGCTGACGCCGATGCAATAACGCCACCAAATGAAGGCCTCACAATCTGCCCCTGAGTGTCGACTATGTAAACAGTGGCCAGCTCTTGGAGAGCTTCCAGTTCTCCTTCTCTGCAATGCAATCAATTTGTTGGTTTGTAACACGCTTCTGGCTGAATAAGCCCCGTGCCCCTTACAACGGGTATCGAAAAGTCAAAGTGGGGCGCGCTAAAGGGTATAAATATAAACGTCTGGTCTTCTTTGATCGCACAGGGGTTGCCGGCTCTCTTGTCGCGCAGAATTGAACGGCCAACTCATGTGGTGGCTGGCGTTAGCAAGTTGCCCCCTAGTAACTGCAAAGCATACCACCCCTAACAACTGGACCCAGCCCCCGCGTCTGGTGGATCTAGTCCACTCAGGAACTGGTGCCATGCCCCACCCTTTTGATGGCACGAGTTCAGTTTAGTTCAGTTCCACTTAACCCTAGAATACCCCCGCAACACCGCAAAGTCATGCGCCCAGACTTGTGCCAGATATGGTTATCTAGACCATCTAACATCACGGGCAAGATCTTCCATCGCTCGCTGAGGGTTCGTGGTAATGATATCGCCTAGCGCAGGCAGTAGTCGCGACGCCTCGACCAGCGCGGAGGACGCACCCATCGGGTTGGTTGCAACGCCTACCAACGACGAAATCCCTAACCCGGATACTGAGCAAGATACTATACGGCCGAGAGCATCACCCGACAGCGCTGACAGCAAATTGCGAGTGGCATCTCCTCTTCTGTCGTTCTTTCGATTATGTTAATACCTCTTGTAGGCCCAAGCGTGAAGTAGACCAGCCTTTGTGCTGTCTGTATCCGGGTTGCTCCGCGAAACCCTTCGGTCGACGCAAAGACCTGGATCGACACTACAAACAGCGCCACGTCCCTAAGTCATTCTACTGTGACTATGCCCAATGCAAACGCAGTGTGGAGCCGTTCAGCCGACTGAATCGCCTTCGCGAGCACCTAAGGACTGTTCACAAGGAAGCTATTGGGACTGAACCTGCGACCGTCACCAAGGAACTGGTTAAAGGCGGCCAGGCATTGATGAAGTGGTGGCGATGTGCAAACTGCCTGAACAGGGTCGATCTTGGTCCGTGTGGGTATAATTGTCCCCATCACAACTCGAGACACAAGGCAAAGCCGGCTCCATGAGTTCCAATATCATACTTGATCCGCGACATTTAGGCATGCATAGCTGCAAGAGTGTCTTTCGCTAGTTAAGAGCGAACGTAAAATGTTAAAATAGTGTAGCTACGAATATACAATAACTATCTGTGCCTAGACTGGCGAAACATTCATCTCGAAGGAGAGGAAGATCGGCTGCTGGAGCAACTTCTCAACAGGCAACTCGATGAATACTGCAGAGCAAGGCTTACGCCATGAGGGCAGTGCCGTCTCCAACCAGTGTCAAATCCAGTTACGGCTCAGCACCGGTTGTTCCACTCAATGAATGGGTTTCCAAATATCAGAAGGACAGTATGGCCAGGCACTTGCTTGCTTGACCATGAGCCGCCGAACTGTCACCCCCACACACCCCTCCCGTTGCTTTAATATAGACTTGACTGTGGTTCGCTGTTTTTGTTCGCGGTGTTCGCGTCCAGGGCAAGCCGACGGTCTGAGGGGTTCAAGACATCTGTGATGGGGCTACAGACAGACCGCGAGTATGATGTTATTGTGATCTCACCGTGGTGAAGACAGCGACAACTGCCCGCTTTTCCAAAAAAAAAAAAAAAAAAAAAAAAAAAAAAAAAAAAAAAAAAAAAAAAAAAAAAAAAAAAAAAAAAAAAAAAAAAAAAAAAAAAAAAAAAAAAAAAAAAAAAAAAAAAAAAAAAAAAAAAAAAAAAAAAAAAAAAAAAAAAAAAAAAAAAAAAAAAAAAAAAAAAAAAAAAAAAAAAAAAAAAAAAAAAAAAAAAAAAAAAAAAAAAAAAAAAAAAAAAAAAAAAAAAAAAAAAAAAAAAAAAAAAAAAAAAAAAAAAAAAAAAAAAAAAAAAAAAAAAAAAAAAAAAAAAAAAAAAAAAAAAAAAAAAAAAAAAAAAAAAAAAAAAAAAAAAAAAAAAAAAAAAAAAAAAAAAAAAAAAAAAAAAAAAAAAAAAAAAAAAAAAAAAAAAAAAAAAAAAAAAAAAAAAAAAAAAAAAAAAAAAAAAAAAAAAAAAAAAAAAAAAAAAAAAAAAAAAAAAAAAAAAAAAAAAAAAAAAAAAAAAAAAAAAAAAAAAAAAAAAAAAAAAAAAAAAAAAAAAAAAAAAAAAAAAAAAAAAAAAAAAAAAAAAAAAAAAAAAAAAAAAAAACGCTCGACCTCTGTGTCCGTTGTTACTGGTCAGGTTCAGGTTCAGGTTCTATTCCTACTCGGTTTTAGCCGCCATCTCGCAGCAGCCATGTCCGGTGAGCGGGGTTTGGCCGACGGCCGAAGCGCTCCGGGTATTTATCCGTCACGCCCCACTTCGCCAGCACCCTTTGGTGTCCGGCCAGCTGTCCCCAAACTTCCCGCTTTTCCTCCTCAACCTCTATCTACATCGGCCCGCTAGCTTCAGTAGATCGCGGTTTAATACTAATGTAACTACATATATATGACTTAGGCTCAGATGAGACGAGTCGTCTGTCTCGTGTATGTGTCCTCCTACCTACAGTCTCCCCCAGTACACGGCTTGGTCTAGTTATGGATTGATCCTGAATTGTCCAAGGATCTGGGTTTGTTCCATGAAGTTGACGACCTTTGCTGCTACTTTGCACTCGCTCAATATTGCACGGAGGTTATGTCGTTCCGGAAACTGGCCTAATTCCTGCTTTCGAAGTGTGGCATACCTCCTGCATTGGAGCAGGATATGGGCTACCGTCTGACGGCTTTCTCCGCAGTCGCATCTCGGGTCCGTGACTCCTGGCACTCTTCGTTTGAAGAGGAAGTTGTTCAATCCGATCTTCTCGTTTTGGAGCTGGACATAGATGGCGCTTTGCCTCTTACTGAAGTGCTTACGCGGCTGTGAGACTTTTGGTGTTGGCTCCGATGTGTGTCGGAAGGTTGCCCGGCCCCTGGTTTCCTGCTGCCACTGTGCTTGCCACCTTTTATTGACACGCTGCTCGACCACAATTTTAGTGCGGAACTCAGTGAGTGCAGTACTTGGGATCGCTGTGCCTTTGGCCCTGGTGGTCCTTTCTTTCTCCATCCAGTGGCATTTTTGGCCGCTTGATCGGCTGCTTCGTTACCATGTATTCCTGTGTGGGCCGGAATCCATCTATCCTCGACGGTCAAACCTTGCGCTTGTAGTTCTTGCATTCGTCGTGTTATGTCTTGGAGAAGGTATGACCCCGATTCCCCTCTTGGTCTCGCTACCGACCTGACGGCTGCTTGGTTGTCTGTGTATATGAGGACTTTCTCCCTGATGCTGCCTCGGTTTCTGTCTTCCTGAGCAATCTGGAGTGCCAGAGAGATACCTTGTAGTTCGCCGGCGTACGCCGTCGATACATTATCGTCACCCATGTAGGCGCTCTTGGTTTGATTGATGGTGGTGCATACTGCTGCGGCGCCCACGTGGCCGTTGTTGCCGCTTCTATCTGTGTATAAATGAATAGCATTTGGCTCATTGTCGATGCTATACCGATGTCTCTCCTGTGCTTTTTCGGCGTTCTCTTCAACGAACGCTTTCGGGCCTATCCACCATGGTGGGACGACGTGCGCGGTCATTGCTTCCATTCCCGTTATGTTGAATTCCTGTTCATCCTGGATGGCCTTCTGTATTGCTTTGCGTGGGCTCATTTTCGTCTTTCGTTCTCTTACATTGTTTGCTCCATGTTGTGATTCATGTTCCCTGGAGTCCTGTCCCCTGAAGCCGATTCTTCCCAGACACTCAGTGTTGCGCTTCCAGGTTTGGTGTTCCATGGGGAGAAGATGTGCCTCGATGTCTAAGGCTGCGGCCGACGTGGCTTTGAAGGCACCAGATATCGCTGTGGCTGCCCTTGCTTGTAGACATTGCAATTGCGTAAGTGTCTTGTTGGTGTACGGAATGTTCCTCCTTCTCCAATTCGCGTTCAATCACGCAGAGCATACGTACATGATCTGCGGCACCACCGATCCTCGGTAGATCCTCCTCATGTCTTGAAGGTGAGGCCCCAGGTCGAGCTACCCAGGCTGCTCAGGGCTGAGATTGTCTTCATTACCTTCCGCCGTCCCTCGTCTACGTGAGGTTTCCATTGCAGCACAGAGTCCATGATAAGTCCTATATATTTGGAGGTTGGCTTTGCCGGGATCTCGCACCAAGCTGTTTGCAGTGGATGTTGTGTGTCTACTCTCGTGCGTGCCCTTGTAAAATGTGTGAGCTGGAACTTGTTTGGTGAGAAGACTGATGCATGAGTTTTCGCCCATTGCTCTGCTGTTTGGAGTCGCATCGAAGCTCCCCTCGCGAGGATAGCCACCTCGTCGATGAAGCCAGTTGCGGTTGTGTCTTCTGCTAGATTGCACCTCTCGATAAGGTCTGCGTTATAGAAAATATAGAGGATCGGTGAGAGAGACGAGCCTCGTACTGTGCCTGTGGAGACTTCGTGTCGCTCGGTTTTGTACCCGTCGATTGAGACCCTAGTGTGTCGGTCTTCGAGGAGACTACATCGAACTGTCTTTCATCATCAATTCTTCTTTTCCGCAGATTGTGCAGGAGCCGCTTGTGAGATATGTTGTCAAAGGCGCCCGAAACGTCGAGTAAGAGAAGACTTGCTACCTGTCCTTGGCCTCTGTTCCATTCTTCATAGATCTTGTCGATGATGTGGTGTATTGCATGCTCGGGGGACCTCAGCTTCCGACCTCCTATATAGGTTGAGGGGAGCAGGCTGTATGTCTCTGCTACGTAGCTCAGGTGGTTTGCTATTATGGCGTCCATGACCTTGCCTATGGTGTTCAACAGCCCTATCGGCCGGTATGACCCGGGTACGGTGTAGTTGTCCTTTCCTTGTTTCCTGAGCACAACCGTTGTCGATTCCCTAAAGTGTTGTGGGCAGTAACCGAGATTAAGGCTTTGATTGAAGAGGGCCGTTAGGTGAGGCTTGATCCATGTCGCCACCAGCTGCAGTGCTTTGTTTGGAATGCCATCAGGGCCCTGGGCCCTGAGAGGCGAGGCTTCTTATATGGCTCTTTCCACTTCTTGTTCTGTGATGGGTGGCATATCTATCCGGTCAGGATATGTCGCACCTCGATGTCGCTGATATCTGCTTCCAGAGAGAGAAAGGGGGGGGTGGAAGAACCTCTTTTCTGAAAATATCTGCCTTCTCCGCTGGGTCTGAGGGGTATCTGGGTGTTGTAGCGCAGGTGTCACCTCTGGTGATGGTGTGTCCCTATTTCTCGCCCATCTCGCCATTTTCCAAAGCGCCTCTGGTGCTCTGAGGCTTTCTCCACATTCTCTCGATGCCCCCTTTTAAGTGTTTTCTTGATAACCCTGCCTTTATGGTTCCTGGCCTTGCGGTATGCCTCCCATTTTCATCCGTGCGATAGAGATCGTAGAGTCGCCTGAGGCGTATTGTCTCTGCTAGCACTCTCGTGCACTGTTCATTCCAGCCATGTCTAGCCTTAGGGGACCATGTCCTTTGGGGCACTGCCGTTTGTATTGCATTTCGTAATGCTGCAACTATCTCCCCCGCGTATCGACCAAGTGCGCTTTGTGTCCTTGGTCTTCGCATCGGCGGCAGGTTCCCCAGCACCACAGGACTTGAATCTCTTCTCGTCCATGGGTTTCCAATTTCTGCTGGGCTCTCTATTTAGCTGCTTGACTGATACGTCGAAGACCCGTGACGACTGGTAGGTGGTCCGAATCGTGGTCGAGACCGCGATCTACCTGGCTCCTGATAACTCGATATGCCAGGCCAAGAGTGACCAGGCAGAGATCGATGGTGGCCTGCCTCTCGCCTTCTTCATACGTGATAGTGCCTGGTGCCAGAGTGCTTGTGAGGTTGTAGTCTTCCATGATCTCCACGAGGTCCTCCGCCTCTGCTTCTGTTCTCAGGACTTCTGGGCCTCCCCACATCTCACGGTGTAGATTGAAATCTCCAAGTACTATTTGCTCTGCTTGCTATGCCGATTCAAGCACTCTCCGCAGCTGAGGTAGCACACTCTGCCTATTTTCTACCGATTGGTTGGGATTGTAGATATTGGGCAGTTTGATCTCTTTGATCTCGTCCCCTTGTCCCAAGTTTATCGTTACCGTACAGAGAAGTCGATTGTGATTCAAATCGCCACTTTGTATGGTCGAGCCGTTTATTGATGAACACGCAAACCATTGCTGGGCGATCACCTTCACCCTGGGGGCAACAAATGTGGAATAGGTTTTTAATGGGTGGTGTGTGGTGTCAATGACGGGGTTCACCCTTGGATGGCGAGATACCAAAATCCATTATCTTTGGATCCCGTAACAGGGTAGCCATTACGATGTCTCTTGATTTTCTGACATTGTACTGTAGTGGAGTGATTCCATGCGTCTCATTCACGGTTGTCGACGTCCATGTTCTCCGCTTGGTAGGAGCCGTGTAGTCTTGCTGAATTTGTATCAAGGGCTTCCAGTGCCCTTCTCGATGGTGTTATGGTCCTTTGGGGCCGTGACTTCCCGTGTTGACTGTGATCTCGTTTTCCACGTTATTCGTCGTGGGAGCCAAGTTACTACCAGATTTGTCTCTTCTTTGCCCTCTCTTTGTCGGTGACCTACTTCTTCCTCGACGATTCTGCTCCTTCACAGGCAGCGCTTCCCATCGGTCTCTCCTGGGTTCTTACACTTGTGTTCATCTGGCTGATTGTCGCACAGCTCTGTGGCACTAGGTAGTATCTGGGGCGTGCAGCGTAAGCAGCTTTGACCTTAGCCATTTCATCCTTCCTTGTTACACACTGGTTGCTCCATGCCTCATGTTCACCTTTGCAGTTGGCGCACTTACTAGGCACGCTCTTGTGAGACTTGGCAGAACCTTCCCGGGATGCATGTGCTCGAGTGTAGTAGCCACATCTCACTATTGCCTTGCACTGGATTCCTATATGGCCATATCCTTGGCAGTTAAAGCATTGCCTCAGTCGGCACGACCTGTCATACAGCTCGCACTGAAGACCTCTCCCTGCCAGATCAGACCTTCGTCGATAATTTTGTTAGCGTCTTGATGTCTCGTGAACTCAATAATGATTGATGAAGAAGTCTTTGCAGCAGACGTCCTCGTAAGCCAGCCAATGTATTTTATCCCGGCACCGGGGATAAACGGTCTGTTTTCCTGTAGAATGCTGTCTCTGATGTCTTCGATTTGGCTCACATCCATTGAACTGGTGCGGATGCCATGAAAGAGAACACCGTACGTAGGGGTGCGGACAGTGGCTCCGTTCCCGAGCCGGTGTTCCCCGTCCTCAGCGAACTGTCGGAGTACCTCCATGTCACCGGCCGAAGCCGTCTTGATGCTCAAGTCGCCGCTTTGAGTTGGTTAGTCGACACTGTCTGAATGTTTTCTATGTGTTCGTTTCCTCTTTGTTCTATAGCACGATCTACATGTGCTTTCTGTTGTGATTGAACTTGCTTCTATTAAATTCTGGCTGACAGCTCTCATACATATAAATACCTAGTGGCACGGACCGTGCCAGTAGGCAGCAACTATTCTGCGTGTCATGCTTAGTACATGACTCGTACCAAGCCAACACTTTCAAACTACGGGGGTTCATTGCCCGTAGGCTCGCTATGGTGAGCGGGTTCCGAACATTCACCCCGATCTCACGGAGCACTTGCGCGGGTGGTGCCTTGTGTTGGTTCAGTGGTTCAGTGGATTATGAATACTAGCAGCTAGCCCATTCCCTGCCGCTACAGATGCGTAAGTCCGTAGTGGGCTCGGTCGATTGTGCTGTTCTGCATTCTTGATCTCTCATCATCATGACCGTTCTGCCTATATCGGTCGATTCTCTTACTGCCACCTTCGTCTCATTCTGTGCTTCGTGACTCTTCCAAATTCCTTCCGATATTTGCTGGCCCGATTCCGCAGACTGTTTGAGTTCCTTCTTGATGTCGTCGAGAGCCTGCATCGTGCTATCCGCCGCGATCTTCGATTCGGTTCTTGCTATCCGGAGTGAGTCGTGTACAGAGCTAAAGTCTGGGACGCTGTGGATCTTATTGACGAGGGATAGTGCGCCCATGGCTATGATCTTAACAAGATCATGGGGAACGAGTTGGTCTTTCGAACATTCGATGCACAGGAGGGCGGCCCTGGGCGGGCCATGCCACCTCTTGGGGCCACGAGGTCGCCATTATCTGAAAACACACTGGACGATGCCCTTGACTCCAGGCAATTCAATTGACCCGTCGGAGAGGCGTGCAAGTGCTGTTTGGTGCTTTTGTTTCAAAAATTCGTTCTCGCTGTTGTGAAAAGCTTTTTCCGTTGTGGTGATAAGCACCACCCCTTGGTGCGCGAGGTTCGTGTGCTATCAGAAGGGTGGGGCGTGGCACGAGTGGGGCGGATACAGATCGTACCCTCGGCTTTGTCCCACGTGACAGGGATGCAGAGTCCAACCTTTACCTCAGGCACTCAGGCCCACTCACTAAGCGAACTTGCCTCAGGCACTCAGACCCACCCTAGCCGAATAGACGCAAGCGCGAGCGCACGTGATTCTGTGTGTGGGCCTGAGAGATTTTTGGCACGATTTGGTGGGCCATCCCTTCAGAATACATGTACAACATATGTATGCCCATGCAAAATATAAGTACCCCATTCACGCCTTACGGACGACTTCGCGAAAATTACGACGCCACAATATCACCATTAATGCAACCGGGAAGATCAAAATAACTATGCACGAAAGATCTAAAACGTCTCAGCTACCGATTGAATGTAGTCTCATTTGAATATGATGCTTCGTTGCTGAGATATCGCGGTCGCTGGCTAGCACGCTGCATAATTTGCCATATGTAGTCGATAACGTGTAATTTGACTGCCACGAACGTCGTCTCGCGATTAGATTTACGGTTCCCAGGAAGTATTTCAACTTCCTGGCACGCTCCAGCTGACCATGCCATGCGGCCAGGTCGTGTCTAGATCAGATTGCTGCCTCGGCAATGGATAGGACGCAATTGGCATCCAGGATTGAAGGTGCAGTAAGGTTCAGGCGGCGACCCAGACAAGTGGAAGCGGTGTACAAGCTCGTGGTGAACCAGCTAGATCAAATCTTGATTACACCTACTGGCTAGGGCAAGAGTGTCGTCTTTCAGGCAGTTCCAGTTCTAAGCGGTGAAATTTGCATCATGATTATGCCGCTGACTCTTCTAGACGACCGGGTTAGTCTCCTATTATTGATAGGATTGGGCCATCTTACGAGTCATGCTTTTTGCAGGCCAGATCAGTATCTATGATTCCTGGCTGCAATCCATACACCATCAACGCAGCCACGAGTTCGCCAGCATTGCTTGAAGGCATCAAGACTGGTCCTGCGTGGTTCGCCTTGAGTTCTGATGGAGGTGACGGCGTGCTGAAGGCAGACGGGTCGCTCATAGAGTGGATAGATGAAAGTAGATGTTTCCATTGCACGTCTCGACTTAGTTGAATTGCATAACAGCGCTGTTCTTGACGTTGATGATGCATACATTTGTTGAACGTCACAGCGGAACACAGATGAAAGGAGTGCGTTGACTCTGTAAGCTAGAGATGCTGCCAAGGTAGACTATTTATGGAAGGGGCAGGCTGGACCCTGCACGTGATATTGCATCACGTTCAACAAATCCAGCGTCTCGACTGCGTCTTTCCGTCTACAGAGTTAGTAGCATGCGTCGAGCAACTACGTCGAAGCCTTCCGACACAGCAGAATGTACTGTGAGCACGGGAGACTAGAAGTACATCCTCCCCAACTTGGAGGGCAAGAGGCAATATTGTAAGGGTGACTTGATAGCTGGATTCCTTTACTATAACATTACAACACAGAAAACTCGACACCCCGTCACCCTGAATTATTTTGGTGCAGGAGCAGATACCGAAGTCTTGAATTAACTCCTTGAACATGTCTGCCAGCATGCTCACTGTTTTATTCAAGCTGCTTACCGTGTCAGTCAGGTCGTGCACCTTCGACTCCAGATCTTGAACCTGCTGATCTCTTCCAACGTCACTGATCGATCGACGGGAATGTGCACTTGAACTCCGTCGGCGATCTGAGCGACTGAGCACGGCCAACTCGTCTGCTTGGGCGTCCTTCATAGCCCTACGTCTTGTCGGGTCCTTTTCGACCTTGGCGGGGTCATTGTAGTAGCACACCCATCCTGCCTTCCACGGCGTAGGTATGCCGTATCGCTCACAGACCTTCTCAATTTTCGCCCTTGCGCTCGCCGGTCCGAGGACCTGGCATCATTTTTTTCATAGAGTAATGTAGGGCTCTAATAGATATTGGATCTTGGCACTACGGCGTAGAGCCACGGCCAGATGATATGCGATCTAACTATCTATGTATCCGAATACTACGCAAACGACATGTGAATGCTACTATACAACTATTATGCTATTCACCCAGATGTCGAGTACCTGCTCATGCTGACAGTGAAAATAAAGGCGGTCAGTGACGCTTCACCCAGGCGTTTTCGTCCTACGGACCCTTTGCTGGCGCTGTGCTTTCGCCCCCCGGATCATCTGGCGACGTTGTTCCTGTCTCAATCTTCTACGATTTACTTGCTCTGAAGTTCTCAAAAGGACTTTGTGGACGGACCAGACATGGTTTCTGAAATGATCTAAATGCTCAAACGTCTCATCCTTACATTTAGGATGCTTACAAACAAGCGCCTCCCCTCGCTCCGCGGTAGCTTCGCGGTCAGTCAGGTGCTGGTCATCGAAGTGATCATTTCGGATGGTCGGGCGACACCACTGAAAGGTGCGCTCTGCGGCCGTTAATCGCTCATCCCCGATGCAATCTGGACATTGACTTGCATCCATGAGAAGTGGGAAGAGATCGGGTTCGTACCAGGCTCCAAATCCAGGCGATTCTTCCTTGATGAATTGCTGTACTTGGGGTTGGGGTGGAGCCCTTGGCCGAGTTTGTCTAACTTTGCCGGTGTTCCTTTTGTCGCAAAGCGCGACCATGAGGTCAACTGCCTCTGTCCTGATGCAGGAGATTTGTTCTTCCGTCAAGTCCTTGGGCTGAAAGCAGAGTATCTCGGCCAGCCTGGCACGCTCGGGAACAACGAGGTCAATAACAGGCTCTTCATACTGCTCTTCCACCTCCCCGCGAGCTTGGGCTTCGATGTCCCAGGTGGGACGATGGTAGAAGTAGTACTCGCGATAGTCCTTGACAATCCGCTTCTCTCGCTCTGCCTTTTTCGTTCTGATTTTGTCAGTCAGCTCCCGTATTTTCTCTTCATTTTCACTGCCAGCTATTCGATACCGGCCCTGCTTCAGCCGCGCGCGCTCCTCTTCTAGTTCCATGATATCCGGATCAGGTGGCACCTGAGCCCAAACTTCGTCCGGCACCATATCGCGGGTTGCTCGAGGGTCTCGGGTGAGGCTAACGTGTGCAAACATCCGAAATAACTGATCCTGCTTCTCCTCTTCCAGGAACGCATTTTGAAGGTCGAACCTCGCAATCTCGTTCAAGTACGCACTGAAGAAGGTAGAAAACCTAGGATCATGCCGCATCATCTGGTCACGAACTGAATCGGGCGCGTCACCTAGCAAGTGAATCTACTTAGCATACACGTACTGCAGGATAGACGGGAACCAAGGGGAGCATGATATGATTAACTCACCATCAGCCGCATTGGCGGCGCCTCTGCGAGCAAATCTTGGTGTCCAAGCCTTCTCATGCCCAGAATCGAGACTTTGTCGCCCCATGTCGTAATTGAGTTTTGAGTATAGCATAGCCTCGTTGGTGGAGAGCTCACAGCCCCGAACGCGGCGGAAAACGGGCATCTTGAGCATCTCCTCCTTCCACCGAAGCTGCGTGCACTGAGTCGGACCCCAGACCTGCGATTCGAACACACGGGATGCATTGGTTAGGCTTGGTGCGTCGAAGGCACGGTCATGCAACGCAAGGGCAAGAATGACTGTTATGGGGCAAAAGATTAACTTCTTGCTTGGAGTGAAGAAAAAAATGGTCCTGAGATGCATCAGTAAGTTTACCACTCAAAGGGCAAGAAGATTGGAACCATACGGCCTAGGCTTTTTATCGGCTCCCTTGTGGTGAATGAACTTGATGGCCATAGCCAGAACAGGCAGTCCTGTGACAGGATGACGGACAAGCATCATAAGAATGTCTTCATAGCAAAGAGCCTTTGGTCGTCCGCGCTTTGTTGTTTCCATGGAGAGTAGCTCCTCTACCTTCTGCGACTCTTCGTCTAAGGCGTCTGCTGCATCCGAGGCACCCTCAGCCTGCTGGACGACCTTCTGCCCGAATAGCTTTTCGATGGAGCCGTCTTTAGGTTTCTTCCTTTCACCGTCTACTAGTTCGGCCGGCCGCGCTCCAGTATAGCAAAGAATTTGGTAGCAACCAGCCAGTTGGATGCGATGCCGCTCCAGGTCGAATGCGCCGGTGTCGTAAGCAATATTAAACGTCAAAATGACTCGCAGACTGTCGACATTTAGGACAGCCTTGCCATCAATATTCGGCGCACGGAGGCCAAATCTAGGGACTAATACATTATGGTGGTACTGACGAATCGTCAGAAGGTCGTCAACGATGGGTGCTTGATGTGGGAAGGTGTTGATGGTACCTTATACACTTCTTTACTGTCGTTCCGATTCATGTATTGGCCTGTGACCGTCGTGTAAAGCTGCTGGAACTGGCGCATGTACTCCTCTGAAGTTCCCCACGATTTGACGTTGTAGTTACCGCATACGAAGAGGAAGAAGTCCATCGTCGTTTCTCGACGTAGGCACCGGATCGTCTGCTCCCAGTCACCAACTTTGTTCTCATCGCAGTACCTGTATCGTCCTCTATTAGTAAGGTCTATACTTTAAGATAGACACTATAGTGGAGCGCCACATACCGTTTCCACTTCTTGAAAATGCCAGTGACATTGATCATGGTCTCCTCTGAGTACTTCGGCTTGACGAAGCGGACTTTGCTTAGTCGCTTCCGATTCGCAGCATGTTCCTCTGCCGAGAGAGGTGCCGGCTTTGGAACTCTTCGCTGCGCCTCTTTGGCAGCAAAACGCTTGAGAAACTTGGCGTGATGATTCGGCGGGCCATTTGCCCTTAAACGACATCCTGTTGAACCAGCCATCCTGGGACGAGGGTAGCCGTACTAGTGAAGGGAGGCGTGCCCTCTGTTGCACTCACGGTAGATGTGCAGATGATGAGAGAGTCTACCAGAGACACGTTGGCGGTGCCTCCCTTTATAGAGAGGAATGGTCATGACTGGCCTGGGCCAGCCTGAGCGGTTGGCTATATTTGGCTCTCAGTGACAGAATGACGACGGCGCTTAAGGGACGGTTTCTAACACTCCCCATCATTAGTCAAAAAACCGGGTTGGGCGGTGGGATTGGTTGGTCTGACAGGGGTAGTCGGTGCCTGGAAGGTACAGTGTACCTGGATTGAGACAGTACCCCTCATTGTCTCCCACCACCAAAAGCGGCGGCACGAACCGCCAGATTCGGTGGGCTCGACAGCGCTTCTTGCATTTAAGGAGTAATATAAAAATAAAAATTTATAAGTAATTATATTATTT